GCATCCTGACTTCTCTGTTCTTGCTCCAAGTATCGTGCCTTACCCCCTCGGCCTACACCCAGGCGCAGTCCTAGAACAAGCAGATGTTGTTCACCACAGCTGGGTTATATTTTGAAGGGAGACACATTTGGAGATATCAACAGTCTAAGCAAAAGCAGCAGCTCCGTCTTCCATCTGCCTGGGGTACCCCGTGGGTACCCTGTGGGTACCCTGGGCTGCCCTGGCCCTGTCCTGCTGCAGTGCCACCCCAGTGTGCCTGTGCCAGTGCTCTCCATGTTCCCTCTCACCGTGGGGTTCCCAGACTTGTCAGGGAGTGACCTCTGTCCCTGGGAGTCCTGTGGCTCCATGTTGGCCCTGGTGGCCTCTCCCCAGCCCCAGGAGCAGGCAGGTGTCCCCGGGGTTTTTCCTGGCTGGGAAGCAGTCTGGCACGCCTGGGGCGTGCTGGGTGCTTGCTGATTGCACAGATGTGAGCCAGGTCCTGCATGCAGAGCAGCACCTGTAGAGACAGGAGCCTGATACTACAGCCATCCAGGGATGTGATGTGTGTCCCCCAGCCCTGCCACCCAGGGGAGAGGGCTGTGCTGACCATGTCCAGCTGGGCCTCAGTGTCCTCCAGGGCCACATCCGTGGGGACCCTGCATCGTGCGGTGACGAGCTCAAAGAGGCTTAGCACAGCCAACTTGATCTGCCCCAGCAGCAGGGTCTTCTGGGTGGCTGTGCTCTGGACATGGGCCCAGCAGGACTCCTGGAGAACAGAGTGACAGAGCCCTAGGCCCCCCCAGCCACTGCCCTGTGTCCCCCTGCATCCTCAGGGCAGGCCAGGGGCACCCAGGAGTCCTGGCTGTGTATCCCTCTCATGCAGAGCTGCTGCTTTCTGGGCACATGGGGACCCTCAACTCGGCCCAGGGGTGCAGTCTGGCTTACCACCACCACCACCCTGTTGGGCATCTCCCCTCTGCAGCACACCTGGGGTCTGTACTGCTGCCCCTCTCCCTGGGGGGGTGTCCCTGGGCACCCCATGTCCCCCTTACCCACTGGAGCACATCTTGACGGG